AAAAGGTGATTCGGGCGCTCGCATTTAGAAGTCGTGAAAAATTCGACAATTCATTTTTTTTCAAAATTTTTGGTATAGTCTGATAGTCAGTCCTATAAGCTTTAATTTGATATAGGGGTTTAGATATCTACAGTTTAAACCGGACGCGCTACATCGCTTGCACGCGAGACACCCCTAAAGGTGCCCGGTAACCTTAAATCTGATTAATGATTCAAAACAGCATAGCTGATTCATACGTTTTACAGTTCATTGACGCTAACTGAATAATCAAATGGCTTCCTACGAAATTAAACATGCGTAACAGTGAGCAAATCTTGACCTTCTAAATAAAAAGTGATTTTGCCCTTTATTTTATAAGCAAGTAATCGCATGTTGCCTTGTAAAATTAAAGGTTAATATCGTTTGTGTTTTCAGACGTTGCAGAAATTGCTCTCGTTGCGCAGAAATTGCCCTCGTCCCTGCAAGACTGGGGCAGTTTCATAAACTTCTGAAAACACGCACGAAATTAATTTTTAATTCTACTCGGCCCTATGCGATTACCTATACTAATTACCTCTTCATAAATATTTGCTTCATCCAAACGTCGACAGAAATTTTCAGAACTGACTTGGTTTGTTTATTCACCTCTTGTGTATGTCGATATCCGTAATTAATTTAGAAGATGTTGGTGACAGACAGTTTAGGGGCGGAGTATCTTCGACTCTCACCCATACCCAGGTGATCTGGTGACGTCATTGCGCGGGACTCAGGAGGAAATTTTAAAGCCGTATCCCATAGGTCAACTCGTGCGTAGCTGCGAGTAAAAAATTGATTTGTGGCGGAGGCGGTAGAGTCGTGTGTTGTTTTCGATGCTTTCCAAAATTACATTTTCTTAGCTTGCTCCTCGATTGGATATCGAATCGGAGCTGTAAATATGAGAATTATTGATTGGACTGCTGCAAAGTCTCCTTTGGCGCCAGGGTTAGCCTACATTGATGGGAATGATTGCTCTCTCTATTCGTACTGAGCGCGAGTCGCATCGTGCCATACATACATTGGCCCAATTGTAAGCGTCAAAATCACTTCGTGTTTGACTGTTGCCTCTTAATTGAATGGTTTCTTCATACAGTATTAAAGATACTCTTTCCCAGCAATGCTTCTTGTTCGCTTTAATCTATTGATTTATGTAAATACTGTATTTTGGCCAGCTCAAATCAAAGAAAGACCAATCATTAAATTTTAAAAATTTTCGAAGCTGCTTGGCATTTAACAACACAATTTTCATTAATTTTGACGACGTCATGGTATGGAAGTCTGAACTCTTTTTTTAAGGAAAAAAAACATAAAATGTGATAATTAGAGGGTAAATATTTAGAAACATTATGAAGGGTTTCAATTTGACATGAGATCCAACATGGAAGCCAGCATTTTAAATGAAGACATGGAGCAGGAGAGAATATGCTTCCCATAAGAATAATTGACGTCAGCTAAACAAAGTGACACACTACATAGTTATAAGCTACCACTCAGCTCGATGATGAACTTTTACTTATACGTAATAATTGAATACTGTACACATTGGCTTAGGATGAAATACAAATCAGTGAAATTGTCAGTTCACTAACCAGTTTCAGTGTAAAAAAAAACCAAGAATCGCTTGGAGAAGCGAGATGGTTAGAAACGATGAAAAACGTCTCGTAGCCTACAATCGGGCAATTGATGGACGACATGTAGACGTGAACAATCTTTAAGATAACAGACATCCAGCCGGGTAGGATCCATCTGTAGTGAAAGTAGCACACCTTTCATTTAGCCAAAGAAGCCAAATATCTGGTTAAAATGTTGGAATTGATGGAAGGGAAGTTTAACCCATTTCTTACGTCGAAGAACACAGACTCCCTTCGCATCAACTAACTGACTCTGGTAGTCTCAATAATCGCGAATTTATAGTTTTACAATTCCAGAGATTTTTAAATACGAATCAGTAACATGACAACTCAAGCCATCACAAGAGCTATTTTTAAAAATGTCATTTGAGCGGAAACTGCCTCGAAAAAATTCCTAAATTACCCAGGTATAAGGAGGTCATGAATACTATCAACACGTAATCTAAAGTACCAGGTGCGCAAGGAGTTCTGTGCAGCTTTTTAATCATTTCCTCCTTGAAGTTGATCGGCTACCTATTTCGGCCAGATCACCTGGAAATAACAAGAAATTGACCAGGTCAGGGTATCCTTTGCAATGCTCTCCCACTTGTCAACTTCCGGATAGGCTGTTGTCTACTTAAATGTCATTTAATATCATAAAGAAATCATTACTCATTCTGTAAGAATGTCTTTTCTTTATCTGATCTAAAAACTAGCTTCGCAGCATTGCAAAGCCTACAATGTCATCGGCAGCTTACCATGGAGAGTGTGGAGAGAGCTGATGATTCAGCTAGATCCATTGCGCCCGTTAGAAGGTGACTTTCGTGACCTCGCCGGCCGATTGGGCTTCCACGTGAAGAGAATTTTAGAGTTCGAATCCATGCCGTATCCAACTCAAGCTGTCCTAAAAGACTCTTGGAATGTAACAATAGAGGACCTTGTGGTTAAACTAGAAGAAATTGGACGAGAAGATGTGAAAGGAATAATGATAAAGTGGCTTCGGGAAAATTGCCAATGTGCAACCTGCAGGGATGAACAACCGGATCAATTCATTAACTAATTTCTTTTTAGTTAAAATGTTGTTTTCTTTCGTATTATACTCATATAACAGGAATTTAAAAAACAAAGCGCTCAGCGGTTGAGGAAATGACGAACGGCTTGATTAGTTGGACCGTAACTCTGACTGTCATTCGTTGACGCCGCGGATATGTTTTTAATGCTCGACGAAGGCCTTTTAAAGAACGCTAGATACAGTTGTGTCTGAACAAGGCCAAAATTTGATGAAATGGTTTTTACTCGGTTGGATCATTTTAATCAAGATTAATCTTTTTGGCGTAGGGACAAGGAGGTTGATAACTATCTTCATTAAATGCTTTGTTTTTTCCTTTTCTCAAACATAAACACCCTAGAATACTTCGAACGTAGTTTACGATACAGCCAAACCAAATAGATTTATCCACCTGAGAATACATTTGATGTAGACATCCACTGAATCCGCGGTTTTCTCTCAAGAGAGTACGCACATAATTGGTATGAAGCTCTTGCCAGTGGTTTCGTTCAAAAGTCGATCAAAACAGGGAAAATCATACGAGAAAATAATGATGATAACCAAGGTTTCAATTTGCATTGGGAGTCTTTCATTATGGTTGGCTTCGACTTTTATGACAAACCATTGGTAGTGCCAGATACGATGGTGAGCTATTTCAAGAAGCTGATTCGAAGAGTTTGAGACTGCAAAATATAAGTCATCCAGCGGAGGCATTTGATATTTCGAGGTATATCCTGGCAGAATCTAAATTTTTTGGGGGGAGCTTACGACCAGTGATCGGCCGGATCGGAAGTCATTATGTTTAAAAGAAATTAGAAAATCAAAACTTACCACCAGCTTGGCTAAATTACACATGGTAAACTCTCTGCAGAAATCCTGTGACTGCATTTTCTCAAGGCTCGACTATGATCCTTCCTCACCGTGACAAAATGAATGGTTTTTCTGCCCTTTTTCTTCATGTTTATTGTTCCAAAACTCACCTACTCAACCATGTCTTTCAAGTTATTTGGTTAAAAGGCCGACCATGTTTCTTCTCACTTCCTGATACCACTAAGGTAGTCAACTGACAAGGTCATAGTCATTTATGGCTTAGGGGCCGACTATGTTCCTCCCTCACTGCTTGCTAACCTCAAGTAGTCAATTGACAAAACGACCCGTCTGTGCGTCAGGCTGCTTCATGTGTACAGCCTCGAAAACAAGTCGCGACAGTTCGCGGAGAGGTAGCGACGACAATTCGCCGCCTTTGATATGAGAAAATTTGTGTGATTCTCTGTCTTAGAGACAATAGTGTACCTTTGCGATCAGTGGTGTAAATTGGTACCAGTTTGCTCTAAGTTTATGGAACTGACTTCAGCGACGAGGCTGTTATAACGACAAATATTCTTGCGAAATGTGCTCAAAGTCTAACAAGAAGAATTGTTGTGATAACTTTAATGAGTATCGTGCTTTGGAAGCAAGGCGCACAGAGCGATTTCCCGAAGAGACCAGTTTCTTAAACTTTTTCCTCAATTAGCCCCGGCATTGACTGACCAAGTTCTTTACTTGTTCTCTATTCATATGCTGAAGATTCTTTACCTCACCCACGTTTTTATCACTGTAAGCAACAGAGAAGCACTTCCTCTAGACAAAATATGAATTACAGGGAGGGTTGTTAAAACCTACAACTTGTATGAAAAATAAGTATTCATGATCCTATTTATCGTGACTGGTATTTTAAAAACATTATTAAGTGTCCTCATTACAAATTGTTTGGGGTTCGACCATCACCACACTCATGGCAGTCTGCGTGAATTCAGATACTCAAGTCAATCATGGAAGAGTCGACCAAGTTTTTTATCCCACGACTAGCACATAGCCACGTGAATAAGTCGTCCATGATTTACGATTTACACCAACTTCATTTCTCCTTCTTGTTTTGTTCTTGCTCGAGCTGCCGAGTTCCCAATCACATATATGCCAACGATATTTCCTCATATATATATATATACTGTTGCGGGCCAGACATGTCTGCGTCAATGTATGCTAAGTATTCCTGTGATTCAGTCATTACCTGAAAAAGGATTAGCTTTCTGCAGAAATCTTGTAGCTGTATTTTCTCAGAGGCCAACTATATTCCTCCCCCACCGTGACAAAATGACTGGTTTTTCCGCCTTTTTTCCTCCATGTGTACTGTTTCCAAAACTCACCCACTCAATCATGCTCTCCTTGTTTGGCTAAGAGGCCGACCATGCTTCTTTCTTACTTCCTGATACAACTGAGGTAGTCAATCGACAAGGTCATAGTCATCCATGGCTTAGGGGTCGACTATGTTCCTCCCTCACTGCTTGCTAACCCCAAGTAGTCGGTTGACAAAACGAGCTGTGTGTGCGTCTGGCCGTTCCGTGAGTACAGCTTCCAAAACAAGTCGCGACACGTCGCAGGGAGAAGTGGCAACGAGAATCCGCGACTTGTAACAGGGGAAAATTCGTGCAATTCACTGTCTCTGTGACAGACTTTTATCACTGTATCTAAAGTTACATGGATTGAAACTAGTTTCAGTTCGTGCGACTGATAGCACTGACAAAACTCGGTTTCATAGATGAGGATTCACACAAATTTACCCCAGGTCACATGAGGAGAATTATCGTAACGGCTTCTCACTGCAACATGTTTTGAAGGGAGTGCACACGTAGTGACTTGCTGAAGAGACCTGTTCATTCGACGTCTTCCTCGTTGAGCCCTGATTGACGATGTCCTTTATTCGTTCTGTGCCCTTAATCCAAATCATACACTGAAGGATTCACCAAATCCCCTTTACGACTTGCACATATCGTAGTGGTCAGGTCATCTCTGATGTGCGCCAACCTTGTATTTCTCTCTGATTTAGGTTATTACTCAAGAATCCAAGTTCCGGCAGTGACTCAGTCATTTAAGTCTTAAAGAATCACCAATACTCTCACTAATTATTTCTTCATAATAAGAGAAGTTGTTACGTACAAGAAGATAAATGCGTCCCTTCTTTATTTTTAGATCCTGGAGAGGTTATGCATCTCGCTGAAGACATAAGACAAGTGTTTAAAGACGATTTATTGACAGAGATGTATGAACATGCATTCCCTGGACAAGGAAACGGAGAGGCGATGGACGTAGCGGGTTTGCTTATGACCTCTGACATGATCAATTGGTTCTGCATTAAAAATTACTTTCTTGAAATGTCTACAGAAATTTTCAAAACTGAGTTGGTTTGTTAATTGTCATTTCCTGCATGTCAAAAGTCTTGGTGTCAAACAGTTCACGGGCCGACTGTCTTCTTCCCTCACCCATAAATGACTAGGAAAAAAAGGTCACAGAAGCTTCCAGGTCAGAGTATCCTCTGCAATTCTGTCCCACTTGTCAATTTCCAGAAAAGCTGTTTCCTTTACCTACGTGTTATTTATCTTGACCAATCGATCAGCCTTAGAGCAAAACATTTATAATTGGTATCACTAGAAATCATTACTCGTCCTAAAAAGACGTTCTTTTTGTATCTGATCTCACATCTAGGAATAAGCCTTTGCAAAGCCAAGAACAAGGTCGGCACTGTACCATTCAGTGTGCTTATAAAGATGGTGGTCAAGCTTGATCCATTGCGCCCGTTGGAAGGTGACCTCTGTCGTTTTGCAGTAAATTAGGCCTGGAACGATGCCAAAATTCTAGAGTTACAAACAAAAATAAAGTTAGATTAAAACCAAACGATTCTTAGGGGCTGCTGGAATATAACAGTAGAAGCCCTTATGGTTAAACTAGACAAGATTGCACGAACGACTGCAATGGAAGAGATTTAAAAGTGGTTAATAGATAGTTGCATCTGCGAAGAGTGCAACCGCACATGGATCGATGTATTTACTTAGTCGCTTTGCTTTTATCTAGCTATAGCATCATGAAATATTTATATTCTATACAAGGCAAACAGCCGAAAACGGTTGGTTCAATCATTTCAGTTTTTTCCTAATCTTTTAGCCTTGTATAGAATATACTTTACTAAGCGAACATTATGGACACCATGAAAATAATTGTTCATTTCTTTGGACTTTTGCTTTTTCTTTCAGGAACGAGAAAATAAAGATCTCTTCAGCTAAGAAAATAATCACATTCAACAGTTGGACCTTAACTCTACCTGTCACTCGGTATTAACTTATTTTCGATTCATATGCTGAAAATGTTTTTCATTCACCCATAGCCCTTTCTCTGTCATCAATAGACAAGCTCTTATACTGAATGAAACATGAGTTAAATTGAGAGCTGTTCAGACATACAACGAGTTTTTTAAACCAGCATTAATGTTCCTCTCATCGTGATCGATTTTGACCTCTTTCGTCTTCTGCTTGACTTTTATTCATTACTAACGAAATTGGCCGCAACTTCACTTTTTAAAAGCTGCGCAGCGAAAAGGGTCGCCTTTCCTCTTCTTGGGCCTCGCCAGATACGAAAAAGGAGCTGCGCTGGGAATAAGTATACACCGTGCATCTTGCTTGCCCAGTTATTCTTTCATTTCCTATCAACTACCCTTGGCTTCATTTTAATGTCCGTAGTTTATCGTCGAGAAGTTTTTAAAGCAATATCAACAGAGAACTATTTTGAGAATAGCACAATATTTGCAATACGAAGTTTAGGATATATTTTTAATCTGAGCGTTTTTGGATTCGTTGATTAGTAGGTGTCGTATCGGGATGGGTGTTAACTAGTATGGTGAGTAGTCTCTTAGGTTTTTAGTATTAGTGAGTATTTAAGGAGTGTTTTGTCCTTAGTTTTTTCTCCCAGCGTGTTAACAGCATTGATTTAGTTTACGCAGGCTCTGGATATGTCTGAGGAACAGGGAGGCGGATCTGGCTCTTCGACTTCGACCATTTCCAACCCTGGAGTAGAGAAGGCAATAAAGGACGCCATCTCGTCAACGTTTTCTGAATTGTTGGCATATCTTTCGTCCGTTATCGATCCAGATTTTCTGATCTTAGGTGCAATTTTTCCGAGGAGTAAGAAGCGTCTTTGTACGCTAAGTCAAAACGGTTTGAGAAGAGTCAGCCAGAGTTCACGTCTACGGGAAACAAAGCTCAGTACCAGCATCAACAGTGCTTGATAAACTTAACGAGGTTAAGAATTCTTTGGCGTGGACTAAGTACGAGAAGGCGAAGGAAGCCATCGAAGAAGGTATCACATTGTCAGAGAAGCGTAACACGGTTCAAAAATTAGCTGGTAGGAGCGAGTTAGGCTGGTCGACGGTGAAAGAGTATTTGTCGGATGAGTTAGCTTCCAATTCCGAGGACAAGATGCGCATTTTTCGTTCCGAAAGACGAACTGAGCGTCGTACTCGGGCGCGGCTAATCGTGGAAGGACCCGAGTTTCTATTTATTTGTAGAAAGTCAACTCTACGCGTCTACTCGAACCCTCGTCTTTCCCTCGTTTTTCTGGTCCGTCTGGTTCGTTGTAATCAAGCGTCTCTCTGAATAGGATTGGTCCGTGTGTTATAAGTTGAGCATATGTATTTGTTTTGAGTTATTTGCGTCGATTTATATCATTATTTTATTACTATTTTTATTTGCTTTGTGCACGATGTTGTGCCTTTTTTCGCTTGTTACTTTTCTGCTTTGTT